TTTACTACAAGTATTCAAAGTCAAGTCAAGTGAGCCCAAACCAAATCAAAGCCCAGTAATTAGCTATAAGGTGATAATTATTGACCAAACAGGTGACGAGAGAGACAGTCTGTTTCTTCCAGCTTCTTGAGATAGCTGGGGCACAGCAGCAGTTGGTGTCAGAGAGATTTCTCACTCTTGAAGCGTGTGCGCTGTGAGCTGTTCCCCATCTTTCTTATATCCTTAGTTCAGCATTTTCAAAGCATTCTTGTAGTTCTGTAAATCAAGAAAGAGTCCCAAGCAGTAATTGATGGAAAAATCCTGTTAATCAAACTGCTCATTATTGGTTATCAGAAGATTCCAATTTGAATGAATTACCTTCCTCAGTGACAAGAGGTTATCTGTGGCAGAGCATAGGCCCCTGCCACTTGAAGCGCCTGGAGTTGCCAGCCTCCAGGTGCCTGATTGCGGCAGCCATTTTGAGGCCTACATAAACCAGGCAGTTGGGCTGCAGGAGGTCAGGGCAGTAACATTGCTTGGCCTTAGGGCTGCTGTGAATGATCTGGAGGTAAGGGGGAGCTGCAAGGGGTTGGCAGGAGGCTCCTGGTCCTGGGCATGACCTGAAACTGCACCCTGCTGGGAGTGGGTGGCCTGGTGGGGCTCTCAGTGGTGCAGGAGCCCCCAGGAAATGCTAGGCCAGTGATCACCCTGGTGAAAGGTGGGTTGGGGTGCCTTAACCCCTAGCTCCCACCACTACTGGGTGGATGAACCCTGTGTGAGAGGGCCTAGAGGGCCAGTGTTTGTGAGGGGCCCAGAGGGGGCAGATCCCGAGAGTGGCAGTGATGTGGGTGTGGTGCTGCGGTTACTCCTAGGAGGAAGGGAGTTGTGGCACGGTGAGGCCCGAGGAGACAGTGAGTGGCTAGAGAGACCCAGCCTGAAGGGGATAGTACCCTCGACTGGCACGTGCTGGGGCCAGGACCAGTGAGGGTCAAAAGGGCTGGGGGCCCACCGCGAGGGATGCCCAAGAGCCGGGGGCCTGGGGTCCGC